GAAGGCAAAGCCCGGCACAGGCGGCTTGGCGGGGAACGCTGGGAGGCTGGGGAGGTTCGATAAACTGCAAACAGCACGGGGAGAGCGTAGGAGATCAGCAAAAACCAGGCGAAATGGAAAATGGATCAGGGAATTTAAAGGGGGGGCAGAGGTGGGGGTCTCTCCAAAGGGGAAGAGGACAGCACTGGAGACCCAGTGGCACCCAGGAGGAGCTGGGAAAGGTGCTTATCCCTACAGGGGGAGGGCCAGGGACCCCTGGCCAGTCCCCATTAGCAATGCCCCAGCAGGGCAAACCCCAACACATCCAGCTGGCCATTGAAGGATGAAGCCGGTGCGGGTGCGGAGGAGGCTGCCGTGCCAGCGAGGCTGCAGTGCCTGGGGATGCAGCCCCGAGCATGCCCCAGCATGTGAGCACCTTGGTAGGAAAGGTCCTGGGGGAGGGTGGCCATCGCTGCCCCTGGTGCCACTGCAAGGGGAATTGCTGCCTGAAACGAGCCGCTCACCGCCCAGGGAGCGAAGGCAGCCTGTGCTCCGGGGGCTTTGCTCTTTCCAAGCCTGTGTGGGTCTTGCTCGGGCAGATCTTCCCCGCCGTGACTGCACAGCAAGGATGGGCTGGACACGGGGGCACAGCCCAGGGCTGGGTCTCCAGGTTTGCGGTTTCCTCTGAGCATCGTGTGGATACAACCCCTGCACGGGGCCGCAGGCTGGCAGGGGACACCCCTGGTTGTGCAAATGTCCGGGACAGGGCTTGCAGGGCCTTTGCACGTGGGTGGGATGGCTGTGCCAGAGCAGAGGGGCAGTGGGACAGACGGGCAAAGGGACAGGGGGATGTCCCTCAGGCAGAGGGACCCTGCTGAGCTTAGGGGGGCAGCTGCCGTGGGTCAGAGCATCCTCCCACCCACATGGCACGGCACGTCCACCACCCGGTGAAGTGCTGCTGGGAGCAGTGAGGCACGGCTGCAGCCCCTCTCCTACCCTACAAATCCAGCTGCTGCCTGGACCGAAACCCCAATTTTTCTCCAAAAACTCCAGTTCCTTTCCTGCTGGCTCCCTGTGTCGGCAGCTGGGAGGATGTCTGAAGAGACCATGGGGATATTTTGCAGCTCCTCTCATCTTCTCCCCGACCCTTCTCCTCCCTGCACATCTGCCCTCCCGCCCTTTGCGTGTGACACAGCCGGTGGCACATCCCGGTGGGACAGTGGCTCCTTGTGCCCCTTTGGGGATTGTTCCCAGTCTGGGGAAGCGCCATCCCCCATGCTAGCGTTGCAGAAATGGGGGTTTCAAGACCAATTTCACCAGGCAGGACAGGGAAAATAACCCTTCTGAGATCTCTCCAGGGGACAGACGGACACAGAGCCGCTCCAGGGACAGCACAAACCCCAGAAGAGGATGGAAAGGAGCAAACTGCCGGAGCAGGCGAGCAGAGGCAGGAGGGAGCAGAGGGAAGGCGGCTCAGTCTGCTCTCCAGGCAGCCCGGCAAACTGGGAGGTGTTTGCTGCCTGTCCCGCTGCCAGCTGGGGTACACTGGCAGGAGCCGAGTGCCAAGGCCAGCACCGCACACCTTGCCCAGAGCCTGGCTGGGTGCCCCGGACTGGGAACCTTCGGCCTCAGAGGAAGGGAATGGTCTGCATTCCCAAACAGGGACAGGGACCAGCACGGGGCAGGGGGCTCAGCGTCAGTGCTGTGCCGCCGCTTTGGCAGCACTGCAGGAGGGAGATTGCAAAGCACTGGTTTAATTTGAGGTCAGAAAGGAGTTTGTCACCATTTTCTGTGTTTCAGTTTTGCCTTCGGAGGTTAGCAGTGGCATCAGGGAGAGAAACTGAGAGAGGGAGTTAATTAAACCCTCCCGGCAGGGTGCTCACTCCCAGCACCCATCCTGCGCACCCGGCCAGGAGGAGCCAGAGCCGGGGACACAGCAGCTGCTGTCTCATCCTCTCCATCCTCCTCATCGCAGCTCCTCTGCCAGATGCCTGGGGGCAGAGGGGTCCCAGCCTCAAGCAAAGGGCTGGATGAAGCTTTTCTGTGCTGGCTCAGCTCAGCTTTGCCCGAGGAACAGCCAGGACAGACCTGCCAGCACCTCTTCCAGCAGCAAAGCAGCCAACGTGCTCCACCAGAGCGATTAATTAGATAGCAGTGAGGGGTGAGGGCCCATCTCCAGGTAGAAATTAAATCACACCCCCATTTGAACAACATTCCCATTTCATTGATGTAGGTACACGAGTAAGGAAACCTGCAGCCCCTGAGAGCAGGCACGGGGGGGTCAGCGGGGGCCCTCTCAGGGAAGGTGATGCTCCCGAAATAACTGGGCTACCCAGCGCCTGAGGCTGGCAGCAGTTTAACTTGCTGCAAGGCTGTAACCATCATTTTGCCGCAACGTGGCGTGCAAGGTGGTGGTATGGTCTCAGGGATAGAAATGGGGTCCTACATCTCCCTAGCCAGTTTGGGGTCTGGGAGCCCCCCAGAGCCCTGGCACAGCCGGGCTGTGGGTGCATCCCGGTGATCGGCTGGGATGCGGTGAGTGGCCACCAAGACATCTCCTCAGGAGGTTCACCCCATCCTTCAAGGAGCTCAGTGTGTACCACAGTGGAGGCAGGGTGGGATAAGGAGGTCCCCCACCACACACCAAATACCCCCCACCTCGCTGCACATCAAAGGCATTGTCCCGGTGCTGTGCAGAGGGGACAAATTCTCCGCTCCGCAAACCCTGCTCGCCTCTCGCCTCCCCGAAAACACCCCCAGCACCTACCTCGAGCAGACAGCTTCTTGGTATTGATGATCTTGGCCGCATACTCTTGTCCTGCCAACACCTTCACACATCTCCGGACAATGGAGAAAGCGCCCCTGGGAAGACAAGAAGCCGGAGGGAGACGTGAAGGGGCTGGGCACGGGCAAGGGCACGGCTCAGCCCTGATGTGCCTGTGGGGCGAGGGGCAGCCACGGGGATGGGGATGGGTGCTGGCTGGGGAAGGGCTTGGAGAAAACATGGAGGGCTCTCAGTTGGCTTCCCTGCACCACTCTTCTTGGGGAATGATGGGGGCAAGCACAGGTAGACCTGGGGATGAACGCAGGATTTGGCCCCCCGTGCTCCCCTGGGACACCCCAGGCTTTGTGTGCCTTTCCTCCTCTCCCTCCTCGGCTCTGCCCTACCTATCCCCTGGGAGAGAAGGAGCAGTGATTTACCAGGGTTATTGGCTCCTGACGGACACCAGGATGGCTGCAGCTGCCACGCAGCACTCGGCCGCTTCATTTTAGTCTGTGCATGTGGCTTTGCATGCTCCAGACCTTGCAATCACAGCAGCACTTTGCAGAAGCGGGTGCAAGCAGCAGCAGTGGGTGCAGGTGAGTGGTGCATGGTCTCCCCAGCTGCAAAACTGTCACACAGGCAGGGACAGCCCAGGGAACCCTGCAAGCAAGGACCACTGGAGCCGAGCTGGACAGGGACTGATGCTGCTGCAGCTTGCACACGTGTGAACCAACGTGCAAGGGTCTCCTGGGGCCTGGCAGGCAAATGAGCACGGGTGCTTGGGACACTCCAAAGAAGCTCCTCTGCCCCCGTACTCCATACCCCGAGCCCTGCCAGCTTGTTGCACTGAAAGCACGCCGGCACGATGCTGGGAGCTGCAGCATTGCACACACACAGGCAAACACACGCTCCAGCCCTGCTGAGCGCAACCTTTGTACCAGGTTCCCTTTCCTGCCAAACCCCTCCAATCGCTAAAATAACAACTATCAAAAGCAAACCCACCTCCTGCCCCACCTTCCCCCCTGCTCCCCGTCGCCCGCTCCCGCTCCCTGCCGAGGAATAAAAGGCCGCAGGCTGGCGAGTGGCGGCGGATAATTGATTTTACCGGTGGGGGCGGATGGAGACGGGCAATTTGGATTTGAATGTGATCTTTAGGAGAACAGGCAAACGGCGGGGTGCGGAGGGATGGGGCTGGAGCCCCAGCAGAGCCGGCAGCCCACGCGCCCAGGGCTGCTGCACAGAGCATCACTTGCGGCACGTGCCAGGCAGGAGCCAGGGGAACAGCATCCCAGCGCTTCCCAGCCTCCCCGTCTTGCCGTTTAATTGTGGCTGCTGGAAGAGCTGAGCTGTTAATATCCCTGTAGTCTGGGGGGGATTAATTGGAAAGGGGGGACAAAATGCTTTGTATCCAGCTTGCCATGGGGTGGGAGACCAGAGCCATTGCCAGCCCTGCAGTGCCATTCTCCCCATCCCGCTGGGAACCCCGCACTGCCTGGGGTTTGGGGGCTCCTGTGAGTCCCTGTGACCCATCTTTCCTATATTTTTCCTAAAGACATGTGTGCTGCTTTTGCAGTGGCAGGAAAGTCCGCAGCAGTGAGCGTGGCAAGCAGGGAAGCCCCCATGCCCACTGCCCCAGCTCGGGGTTTCTACCCCAGCCGCAGGGTTTCACTGTGGGACCTAACGTGGGGTTGGGGGGATGTAGGTCTCCCAGACCCCCTGAAGGCTGGGGACCCCCGGCCACTCCTGGTCCCAGTGCCCACAGCCACGCGGCTCATCCATTTATTCCAGCTAAACTGAATGGTGGGGAAGGGGGAGCCGTGGGAAGCGGGATGCAGCAGGCGGGGATGGGATGCACCACACTGCCAGAGTGCAGGGTTTCACACCCCCGGCTGCATTCATGGCTTTTGGCTCCTCCAGGCCTTTTTAACAGAAACCAAATGTCTATTTGTGCTCAGTGAAGTGCAAGCGAGACCCTGTGAGCCTGGTGGGTGGAGGGGACACGAAGTGCTGGGTGCGGGTGCAGGACACCCCAGGGTGCAGCACGCTTGCCATAGCCCTGTTCCCAGTCCCAGTCAGGCCCTGCAGGGGGTCTGCACTGGCCAGGAACCCCTCCACATTGGGTGTTTGACCCCGCTGGGCATTTCACAGCAGCCGGGCTCTACTCCCTGTGCCAGGCTGCTCCCATGCTTCCCAGCCCCGTGTGGGATCTTCCCAGCCTGGGAGAAAAATCCCCCCTTGGCTCCATCTAAATCCAGCATCTCCTTCCCTGCAAATGCAGGCTTCCCCCCCTGCACCAGGGGCTTACAGGGCAGTGTGGGCAGAGCAGAGAGTGCCAGGCAGGGAGCTCAGACCCATCTTAGTGCAAGAAACCCCTTTGGAAGGTGACATGCCCTGTTCCCTGGCCGTGGGCAGCGGAGTGGGTCCCTTCCCTCCCTCCCAGGGTGCTGGCTCTTTGGATGGGGCCAACCCCCATGGCAGCTGGGGGCCCCCATCTCTGCCTGGCTCGGAGATGGGGCATTCATCCCAGACAACACAAGCACATCCCAGTTTTAGCCCTGGACAGGTACATCACCCACAGGACCGTGGGTAGCGACCGTGTCTGATGGCTGCCATTTCAGGGTGACGCTGGACCCACAGCCCAGCAGCCAGCTCTGTCCCTCCAGCCCCGAGCCCTGGCACTGCTGGGTCCAGCCCTGCAGCCCCTGTCCCTTGGTCCCCCGGGCCAGACATGACCCCATGCCTTGTCCCCACGGCCTCCCCCTGCCAGCCGGAGCAGCGGCTCTGCCACCGGGATGCTCCGCTTCTCCCTTTTTCACACCTTCCCTGCCAGCGCCGGGCTGCGCTGCTGCTGCCCTCCCTCTCTCTTCAACACCTCCTCCTCCTCCGAGGCATTTTATCTCCTTTCTAGAGAGAAGAGTGTGGGCCGGGGATTTTTTGTTCCTCCATAATTTTTTTTTTTTTCCCCTTTTAATAAAACCCCTCTCCTGCAGTTCTGGGAGCGGAGGGGCTGATCGTACCGCTCGGCACGGTAATTGTCTCCAGCCTCTCCCTGAACCTGCCGCGGGGGCGGATTTGGAGGCGCCGATGGAGCTGCACTTCATGTTTGTCCTACTCCGGGGGGCCGTGGGCAGGATCCTCTCCCTGTCCCCCCCCAGCGCTGCCCCCTGCCCTCACCCCAGTCCCCTCCTGCAAGTGTGGGGCTGTGGGGGGGATCGGAGCAGCCTCTCACTTGCTTGGCTTTGCCGGGGCTGCCACGGGAGAAGGTTTTTCCCAGCTCCATGTCCCTCGCTCAGGACAGATGCCCTCCCCGTGCCTGGGAGGTGCAGGGATGCACCAAGGGCTCCTGCTCCATGGGGCAGGCTTTGCAGACCCCCCCTCTCCCCATCTCTGTCCCCCCACAAAGCCCTGTCGTGGTGCTACCAAGAGGTGTGTGGCATCTTAAAGCCCCGGCTTGCCTGGGTGTCAGGATGGGTGACAGCCGAGGAGATGGCAAAGGAGGACAGTGGGTGCAGCAGCCTGACACCCAGAACCCCTCTCCTGTCAGCCAGGCTTGGGGACACCCCGTGTGTGTCCCCCCAGCAGACTGTCCCGGTTCCTTGGGGACAGCAAACTCAAGATGGAGCCTTTCTGCTCAGAGCCCCGCTGCTCCCCTTCGGGGTCTGGCTGGGGGAGAGCCATGCTGCCCACCCTGCCTTGCCCCTGCTGGGATGCCCCCACCAAGACCAGCCCCAGGAGCATCTCGCCAGAGGAGGAACGCCGCTTCCCACTGCCAGTGGCTGCCGCAGCAGAGCAGAAGTGCAGCACTTCGTCCTGATTTCCCTCTCTAAGCTCACAAAGTGGAAATTTCCCCATGGGAAACCACTGATTTTTGAATGTGCCAGGATGTGCTGGAAACCATCCCGGTGGAAAATCCCCAACCCAGTGCCTTGACCAGCCCAGTGAAGCCCTTCGCTTGGGAACATGTCTCAGTGCTGCAGTGGTACCAGCCCCCCGGAGAAGAAGGGAAAGCTGTGGGATGCTCCGAGCTGGGGATGCTGCCCCGAGCCACCAGCCAAGTCGCGCTGCCTCTGCATCACCCCAGGAGGTCTGGTGGGCCGGGGTGCGAGGCTCGCAGGGCGCTGGCGAGCTGCTGCGCCAGCTTTGCTCCTTTATTCGTGAACGTGTTAAAATGCATCTGTCGAGGTGGTTTTACATCGTGGTGCCGGGTCATACAGGTAGCCCACAAGTCTGGGTTCTCAGCCCTCTGTGTCAGCACCCACCTAGCAAAGCATTGCATCGCAAACGCCTCCAGGATCCCTCCTGGTCCTCCCCCATCACACCTGGCCTGCAAGCTCCCCTCCACATCCCCACAGCCATGTCTGCCCAGCCAGGGCCCAGCAGCCTCCCTGCAGGCACCCAGCAGCCGCTGCCTCTCCTGCCCACCCCCTGCCCACCCGCTGCCACCACCACAGAGCCTCAGAGCCCAGAAAAGCTGAGAAACCTCTGGAAAAAACAGGTCCCAAACCCCACCTTGCCACCAGCTCCCCAGCGCGTACCCATGCCCCTGCCCGCAGTGCCGGCTGGGACTGTCCCTGCTTCAGGGACCTGCTCCCCATCCCACTGCTCCCCACCAGCACCTCGCAGCCACCCCAACGCTTGAAGGGATGGACGTGCATGTCCTGGGACCGGGGGGTCCGCTTGCCTCCAAGGAGCTGCACTTTGTAGCAGCAACCTGGTCCTCCCATTTGGCTGGGGAATATTAACTGCGTTCAGCCTGGCACAAAGTCCTCCCCTGTTTCAGCCTCTCGATTTCTCCATCTTTGTCCTCTCCTTTCTCCCTCACCCCTGTTTCGCACGCCCACGCGCGTGTGGGCGCATGTTTAGGTGCAGGCTGTCCTGCGCCCGGGCGATGCGGTGTTGCGGGGCTGGAGCAAGTGCCCTTGCCTACGGACGGACAAAGCTGCCCATCTGAAGCATGGGCATCAGTCACCCAGCACAGGCACCCCCGAGCATGCCACCACGTCGCTGAGCCACTCCGAAGGGAACACGGCTGCACGCCCCAGATTTACGCATCAGCTCCGAAAAAAGGCACAGAAACCAAAACACAGGCACACGCCTGCTCACTTCTGTGCCCGTTTTACAGCCACATGCTTGGCAAGACATGGAGCATCCCTCTGCCCCACAGAGAGGACCTGAAATCTCCTGCTCCACCCTGGGGTACTCGGAGCCCCCCAGGATCGCCTCGCCATGCACGGACATTTCTGTTTGCACACACATGCACCCTGATCCAGGCACACGCAATGACACCCGGACCTGCCGAGCTGAGCCCTCGCCGGCAGGATTGCCGGGTCAGGCAGGGCTGTGGCTCACCTGAGGGGGCACTCACACTGGGACAGGGGTGGGAGACACCCCGGGTCTGTCCAGGAGCTGCTGGGGTTCACCAGGGGCTGCCAGGCAGGTTGGGTCTCCTGCAGGACTAGCCAAACCCCAGTGAACCCACACAGAGAAATTCCCTAAAGAAATGTAAGGAAAAGCCCGCTGCTTTGGCTTTCCTCCTCGGCTGTCCCAAACCTCCTCCCAGCTGGAGAAGTTCCCAGGGGAGCCGGCAGCATCCTCTTTCCGGAGCATTTTTTCCATGAGAAGGGCAGCTGCCCCCTCCCCGGGCAGCTCCAGCCCCCTGGGGTGACCCAAGCCCCCAAATGAGCACCCATCAGCAGCCACCCGAACTCGGGAAGGGACAGAGTGGGCAGGACTGGGGCTGGCGGCCCCCATCCTAATCCGAGCCCCCCCCCGCCACCGCTCCCTGGTGCCTTTGCTCCGTGCCTGTCTCCTTTCCCCCATCTCTGGCGGTTCCCAGCACCGCTGAGGCTTTTCCCCAGCTGGGGCACAGCCCCACTTTGAGCATCCCAGCCCCATCTCCAACTTACTTGCCCAGTTCCTCGAAGAGCTGGTACTCCTCGGTGAAGCGATTGCAGGTGATGGTGGCCATCCCGAGGGGCTGGAAATGCTCCCTCCCCAGTGCGGAGTTTGGGGCAAGCAGCTCTCCTCTCGCTCCCTCCCTCTCCGTGTGCTCCCGGGGCTCTCTCCTCGCCGAGGTAAATAAGGGAATATGTTTGATTGACAAGCCCGGAGATAATGATGAGGGCAATTTGTCTTCTCAGCTTCACAAGCCTTCGTCAGCATCCCCGTCCCCATGGCGACCACCGCTGCCAGAAACGCCCTGTTTCTGTTGCCGGGGCAACTGCTTCCCAAACCTGCCACCCGCCCGTGGGGACCAGGGCCCTGCTGGGGACCCCGGCTCCGGGGGCTGCCCGGGGGTCACCCGCCTGCTGCGGGGGTGGGGGAAGTCTAAACTGCAAATATTAAAGGCAAATTAAAGGACGTGGCAGTGGTAGAATAATTGGGGCAAAAAAGGGTTTCCATGGAAACTGTGGTTTCCATGTTGCAGGAGGATGCTGTCGCCCCGGCAACTGCTTCCCCCCCCCTCCCAAATACAGGCCCTGCTGGTGCCCGCAGTGGCATCCCTCTGGGGTCTGGGGGGCTGTGGGATGGGGGACACGCTGCGGCGAGTGGGAGCAGCTGGAGCAGAAGTGTGTCAGGAGAAGCTGGAGAAACCATGGCAGGTCCCCAGGTCCCCAAACCGGCCTGCCATCAGCCAGGGTCCCCGGGGGGGGGGCTGGCCCTGATCGTTCTGCACCAGGGAGCTGCTCCCCACTCCCCCCCTTTGCCTGCCAGCTCTCCCCACGGACCCTGGGGCTGCCACGGGAGCGGGTCCCATGGGTCCCCCCCGCCGTGGGGTGAGCAGCTTGCCCTAAAGCACAAGCTAGAGGGGGAGCAAAAAGGCTGTGTTTTGGGGGGATTTCAGAGCAGGGGTAGGAGGAAGGTCTGCCCCCCCTCCTCAAGCTTTTTGCTGCCTAGTGCATTTAACATAAAAAGAGCACAAAAAGGGCAATACAAGTAGAGTAATGAGGTCCAAGACTGTGGGGGACAGGCTCCCCTCTGAGCCCACCTTGCTTCTGGCATCCCTGGCAGCACCCCTGGGACACCCAGCACCCTCTCCTCCACCTACACCACCCCTTGCACCCTCCCACCTTCTGATCCCCCCAGAAGAGCTTTCTTCTAAGCTTTTGGCCCGTTTCTGGATGATTTTGCAGCAGAAGGAGCCCCCGCCGTCCCGGGAGAAGGGGCTCCCACCACCGACCAGGAGAGCATTGCCTTTGGCAGCTGAGATGGATTGAGTTCCCTTTCAGGCTGCCATGGAAGGGTTAAAAGGAAAAGAAAAGGCTCTAACCAGACAAAAATAGGGAGAAATCTTTGAGAAGAGAGAGAGAAGGAGGAGCGGAGAGAGGGAGAGAAGAAAGGAGGTGGAAGTGGAGGAGGACAGCAAGTGGCGGAGTGAGGAAGAAGAGGGGGAGGAGGAGAAAGGTCTAATGGCTTTTCCATTAATTGCACCATTACCCACCTTCATCCCCAACTTGCATCCCCGCATCCAGCCTCCCGCTCCCACATGGCCCAGCCAGAGAGGACCCTGTGGCCCTGGTGGCAGGACAGGGACCTGCTTCCCACCCATGGGCAAAGGGACAGGGCCATGGTCCCCAAGGGCTGGTGGCCTTTGGACCCACCCTGGCCATGCCACCATGCAAGAAGAGCACACCAGGCACCCTCACTCGGAGTGAGCATGATGCACGTGTGGGATCTGTGCCCTGGGGCTATGATGGTCCCCAAAAACGCCTCCCTGCCTGTGCATGTCTCCTCCCCATCCCATTCCCACGTGAAAAGGGGTTTCATTTGCCACCCCCGGGGCTGTGCCGGGAGGCGGGGGGCTGCTGCGGGGGCCGCCGCAGCCGGATGCTCAGGGGAGTGCTCTCCTCCTCCAGCTTTTTGGTGCCGGTCCCCAGCAGCCCCTCGGAGCCGAAGGGTGAGAGGAAGACCCCCCCAAGCTGGAGACCCATGGATGCCCGTGGGCAGGTGTGTGCCCCCACTTTGCTTCCACCTGCTCTAATATATGTGTCCCCGTGGGCGCTGCAGTGTGACCTGCCCCTCCTTCCCGCGCCCACCCCCACGCTAGCACGCGTGTTCAGCCCCACATGTGTGACTTGGCGTGCTCCTGGAGCCGGGAGGAGGGATCTCTCCCTTCCGTCCCCCCAGGGCCCCTGCTGCACCCCTGACCCCCATGCCCCAAACTCCTCGCCTGGGGCAGGGGGTGATGGCAAAGCCCCCCATGGGGACCCTGCCTTCCTCCCCGGGTTTCTCCTGCCTGGCAGAGACACGGCTCTCCAGGAAGGGTTTCTCCCTTCCTGCCCTCCTCTGTCTTCAGTTTTTTTCCCTTTTCCTCAGCATTTTTCCCTCTCTGAGGGTGAGGGGGTGTCAGGCTTCTGGGTGCTGAACACGCTCTGCTTTGCCGATGATGTTTTCCCAAGCGGGAACTGCTGCGTGGCTCCGCTCCCCAGTGCCTGGGGACAACCCAAGGGGAGCAGGAGCTCTGGGTGGGACCTTCCCCCTCCAGGCTGGGGGCTCTCCCTTCAACTCCTAGGGGAGGGGAGCAGTCCCAGCCCTCTCCCAGAGACCTCAGGATCCTCTTTGGATGTCTCTCCTCGGCCAACATCTCTGTTCCCGGCCACCCCAAGATTTGCTCCTGCAGGGTTTTGCAGAGCCAAGCTGCTCTCCTGCTGCCGTGCTTGGGTCTGGCCGCCTGATGGAGACCTTCATCCCCAGCGGCTCCTCTCCATCCCCAGGCTGCCTCTCCAGAAATGCCTCCTGCTCTCCCCACGCCTGCTCCAGCTCTACCCTGCTGATATTTAGTTTCTGCATCCCAGCATGGGACTGCCCCAGAATGGGCACCTCAGATCTGATGCCAAATCCCAAGTGCACTGGATGGGCAGCTGTCCCACGGAGCTTGGGGAGGACCAGCGTGTCCCTGGGGGACTGCAGCGGGTCCCCCCCCTCCTCCCAGGGGACAGGGCTTGCCTGGGCCTCAGGGAGCTTGCAGCAGTGCCTCGCATGCAGAACCAGAGGGGCTGCGAATTACATATTGCAGAGATCCCGAAATTACTGGGACAGTTTCACACGCAAGCTGGGGTCTGGGGGATGCTCAGTTGTTGTCCTCTAGGAAGCTGAATTTGGGGTTATTTTTAGATAAAGATTATAAATACCATGGTAAGGAGAGCTGATTTACATTTAGGGTTGTGTTTGCAAATGTGCCCTGTCCCTGCGGGCCCCAGCACTCGCTTCTGTGGCCACATGAGACTGCTTTTGGTCCCCAGGGCCACCCTCTCCCTGACACCAGGGACTGTGGGCAGGTATCCTCCTGTGGACATGGCCATGGATAGCTGGGGACTCCCAGCAGGTACCACACAGCTCCCTAGGGCCATCGTGTGCTGGGTCTGCGTGGGGAGAAACCTCTGCAAAACCACATGTCCTCGGACCCCTGGAAGGAGAAAGGATGCGACTGCCTGGCATGAGATACAGCCCCTGGTCTAGAGCACCTTCTCCCCAGCATGAGGTGCCCAGAGTGCCCTGCTGCCCTCCCACCACAGCAGTTTGTGGAGATGTCCATCTCCTTTCCTACTACTGGGCTTCTTCCCTTCCCTCTCTCAGGTAGAAAATGCCTGTAGGGCTGGAGAGGCTCCGAGGTACCCCCAATCCTGCCTGACCCCCCCCCATCCCCATCCCCATCCTCATCCTATCCCCCTCCCCATCCTCATCCTATCCCCCTCCCCATCTCCAACACATCCCAACTCCCTCCAGCCAGCAGGGTGGAGGCAGCAGTCCATCCCAACGGAGGTGAGGTAGACACCACCCCTCCATCCCACCCCGCTCCCACCTCCTCCCAGCCCAGAGCCCCGATGGCCCCAGATCCATCCCCCTGCCCCATCCCCTCCGCAGGGCCCCATCCTGCACCCAGCTTCTGCCCAGGGTTTGGAGGAGCCTTGGGCTTGCACTGCTCTTTGAAGGGTGGTTGGGAAGGAGGGGACCGCTCAGTCTGTGTGCAAACACATCTGGGTGCAGCATCAGGGCCAGGCAGGGAGCTCCACCACCTGAGCATCTCACCAGCTCCATTAAGCCCTTGACAACCAGAGCACACAGGCACTCCCAAGGGGCTTGAACGGTGTGAAAACACAGGATTTTGGCACTTTGCTGCATTTTTCCCCACAGAGACCATTAATGAGCAGTGGTGGCACAGGGATCCCATGCAGCAGCCACCACCTGCACCTTCCCAGCCCAATGTGCAGATACAGCGGGACTGGAAACCTCGGTGAAGGACAACTGCTCTCCTCAGGTTGGAGGGTCTGTACTCTCAAAGCACCCAGAGATACTCCCACCTACTTTTCCTCTTTGTTTTTGGGGACAGAGACTTTACTTCAACTCTTTCTTTTTGTAAAAATTCAGAATGCAACTTTTTTTAATAAAAAAAAAAAGAACGTAGATCCAACGCTATGGCTAGGCTGACTGCGCGAACCCAACTTCAGCCCAGCAGATCAGAAACTGGAAATGAAGCAAGACCGGACGAACCTTTCCATGGGGATATTAGTAAAATTGAAAGGAGAAAAATCTAACATGTTTTCATGGAAATTTCCATTTTTGAAGAAAAAAAAAAAAAAGGACTAAACTTGGATGCGTTTATATAAATATGGAAATGAAAGCCATTTCCCGAGCCTTGTCGCCGCCCCATGGCCAGCCCCGCTCTCCTGCTCCCTCCAGCACTGGTTCTCCCTTTGCCGTGACTCGTGCCCGAGCCCCCTGCAGCCATAACCCTCTGTCCTCCTCCGGCTCTGGCTCAGCCTGCAGCAGCCTCCTCTTCTTCAGCGAAACATTGCTTTTTATTCAGCAACCGGTTGGCTTTGCCAAACAGCAGCTGGCACCGCAGCCCCGCTGCCGATGGGCACACCGGTGGTGCGCATCCCAGGGGACCAGGCTGGACGGTTGAGGTAGTTCGAGGATGCGCAGCATCTTCCCAGGGCTTGCCTCGGCCGGGGTGATGCCGTGGGGACCGGTCCGCATGGAGTGACGTGCTAAGGGAGCCGGGGATGGAGATGGGGCTGATGGAGGAGCTGAGTCCCCCTCTGAAACCTGTCCTTGATGCTGCTGCAGGGCACTTGCCCGTAGGGATGTGGGGAGCCGATGGGATGGCACGGTGATGGGTGTGCACGGAGCAGCTGGGACCGGCGCACACACTGCC